TATCAAACCACAGGTTGGACTAAAAATTTGACTTTTCAATGAAACTGTGTGGAAGAGTCACTTACATTCAACATTTATTTGTTCACCTGCGTTTGCAATGGAACTTTTTATAGAGCCTTACTATGTACTCACAGCATGACAACAGAGACACTGATGTCAAGCTGAACTACTCAGACATATCCATGAGTAACTTGTAACCTTTAGCTGGATCAACACAAACAGCAAGATGGGTCCCTGCCTCTGTCACCAGCAGATGCTAAGAAGGGGCAGCTTCCAGCAAAGGCTGCTCAGGACCCACCTGGAACAGCTTTCCATGGCAGTCCAGGACAGCTGAGATACACAGAATTACAGACTGGTTTGGATGGGGAAGGACCTTCAAGACCATCCAGTCCCAACCCCTGCATGGGCAGGGACACCTCCCAGCAGCCCAGGCTGCTCCAAGCCCCATCCAACCTGCCCTTCAACACTGCCAGGGATGGGGCAGCCACAGCTTCCCTGGGCAACCTGTTTCCAGCAGATCCAGACCCTTTGGGTGCCCAACTGCCCGACAGCTCCAGCACTACTACTGCTACTGCCTGCCCAGCCACCCTGGACCATCCACATCTCATTTCTTGGCCTCGAGCCCATGGCTGGCAGTTGAGAGGACATGAACTGCTCAGTGTGGTTTTCTTTTTCAGGCATAGAAATTATACATTGTGTGGATTTATTTTAGAGTAGGCACTAGGACAAGAGATTTTTAACTTCACCTTCTCTTCATCTAAATGCAGCCTGGAACAGCAGCAAGTCTCTGAATAGCTTTCTGATGGGAGGGGGCAATCGGCTCTTGCTGCATGCAATTATAAACTCATTAAAGCAGAACTCATTTTCCTCATTATTTTAAGCATTTAAATAATCTTCACTGTTTAATATGACAAGACTGAGCAGGTTGGGACAGACACTTCCCTCTGGTCCTTCCTTCCAGACGTTTATTTGGTCATTGTCATTCTGTAGCAGAGCCTCAGTCACCAAGAGCAGGAGCTGCAGTCCCAGAACAACCATCCTCAGCCCCACCAGACACCAAGCCCTTCCACCAACCAGCTAAGAGCCAGGGTGCTGTGCTGGAGCTGCAGAATATTCCTCAGGGATAAATTCTTTCAAGCAGCTGAAAACTAATTTCACAGAGGCTTGAGGAAACTCAGTGCAGTGCCACGACCCTGCTCTGCCCAAGTCCTGCCCTCAGACAGCTCCGTGGTATCAAGGGGCCTCAAACAAAGGACAAGCCAGGCAGGGTTTTTTTCCCCCTTAAATTTGAACTAATGGAGAGAAGCAGCAAACTCTGCTCAAGCAGGAGGCATCCTGCTAGGGGAAGCTTCACTCCAGCTAACACAGATCCCTTCCCTTGGGCTGTCATTTCACCTGCAGCTCTGACCAGAGCAAACAGATCTCCCCCACCACTGCCAGAGCAGTTCCAAAATCAAAAGCCAGGGCTGCAAGGTTGGGCACCTGACCTGCACCCCTGCATGCACACAACCTCAAAGTTACAGACAGTGTCATAGGATCATTCTGGTTGGAAAAGACCTACAAGATCATCGAGTCCAACCATTACCCCAACTCTGCTGCATCCTCCACTAAACCCTGTCCCCTGGCACCACATCTGTCTTTTAGGTGTCTCCAGGGATGGTGGCTCAACCACCTCCTCAGCCTGGATCACCAAGTCCAACTCCTGCCCCAGAACAGGACTAGCCCAAAGTTGACACTGTGTCCCTGAGGGTGCTGTCCAAGTGTTTCTTGCATATTGTCAGGCTCAGTGCCATTCCTGCTTCCCTGGGGAGTCCATTCCAGTGCTCCAACTGCTCTGGGTGAAGAATCTCTTCCTAATGCCCAACCTAAACCTCCCCCTGCACATCTTCCCACTGTTCCCTCGGGTCCTGTCGTTGGTCACCAGAGAGAAGAGGTCAGTGCCTCCTCCTCTTCCTTCCCTACTGAGGAAGCAGAAGCTGCCATGAGGTCTCCCCTCAATCTCCTCTTCTCCAGTGCAGAGTAGATGTGTGGGCACAGCCATAGTTCAAGGTGGAAGTGGGTCTAGCCTGGGTCTTTGCAGCACACCCCACTCCCACACCTGAATGGGCTCCTTAGAACCCATCTACATTTCATAAGAAAAATCCTTTTGCCCTTTTGGTTTCAGAAGAAATATAAATAGCAACATAGTGGAGGTCAACACCAGCCTCTGGTTCTTGAAACAATGAGAGGGTGACCTTTCAAAAAGATGAGTTAGAGTCCTCAGGGTTGGAAGGAACCTCTGAAGATTACCTAGTCCAACCCCCAGCTGCAGCAGGATCACCTTCTAGATCTTAAGTATCACAATCAACCTTGTACAACTGTGACAGTGACACTGTGACATTAAAACAGACCAGGACAATGAATAAAATTGATGTTCATTAATAACCACATGACTGATTCTTCCTTAACTTGGGTTTTACACAAGGGTAATCAAGACTAATTTCTATTGGTTTAAATGAGAGAATAGGGTCCCACAGAGTTACACTCCTGTAAGATACTCATGTAAATGAGAATAAGTATTAAGCCCTGCAAGAATCTAAATCTCTATCCACTCCACCCCGTGAGCCTCTCCAGAGCAACAGGGGATTAGCTACATTCATTTTAAATGAACGTCATTTATCTCAAGTATTTAACCAGGAAATCCCACTGAGATGAACCTCATTTTCTGAGAGATGCTTTGCAGTATCTTGTAATATTTTTTTTGTTTATTTGCTTGGAGCAGGACCTAGTCTTTGCCTTTTTAACCTATCATGCTAGGGTTTTGAAAAAGCCCAATCCAAAAGCCCAATCCACATACCAAATAGATTTTTCAGTATCCTTCATTCTCAAAGGAACACAGAAATTACTCTTAATAAAAAAAATAAAAATATTTTGAGGAAAACTCCCAGGTCACAAATGCTGTGTGAACAGCAGAACTACTGGGGCTGGACTGAAGGCCAGTTGCACACTGGCAGGAGCTTCTGTCCAAGTGCAGAACAGTACATGGAATGCATGAAAGGGATCACCAACAGCAGTCAGGAAGACTGGAAGACCCTTCAGCCCTACCCATCCTCCCTTGGCTCTGAATTTAACTCCCCAGGTGAGGTACTGTTGTATTAAGCATCCTTTTGAGTGCTGGGGGATGTATCTGTGTGATCACTCTGCTTACACACACCTTGCCTGCACAATCACCCACTGCCAGGCTTTGGGGGGGTGGGTATGATGCAGCCCCTCTGCTGCTGTTCTGCTTTGCTGAGGAGAACTGCTCACCTCTTATTCCAGAGCAGTCGAACACAGGAGGGACAGAGCCCTGGCTCTTTGCTTCATCCCATGGTTGCACAGGCAGAAGTGACAAAGTCCCTTGAGCCCTCCTTGACCTCAGTTTGCAGCTCAGGTGCCTCCAAGGCCACTGCAGTGACCCCCACTCTGCCTCATACTTTTGCAAACAGGGTGAAGTGCTCCATAGATGTATCTTCCTCAGAGCCCTGGAAAAGCCCTTTGAAGCACTCTGAGCACACAGAAGACACTTTGATGGAAGCAGTGTGGCAGGAGTCTGTCCTAGCTGGAAGAGCCTCAGGAGTAACATCTCCAATCACCTTGGGAATAACTCTACCATCACCTTGTCTCACTTCCCCTGCCACTCTAAGGTCTGATTTTGCCATGGAAGAACCACTGGAACAGCTGAGCTCCACACTGCTGGGAAACCAGGACTATGAGGCTGAATCCTTCCCCAGGCAAAGGGGACAGCAGCCCTGGGTCTTGGAGGAGGTAGATGTTTGTCCTGGAGAGCACTCAGGGAATCTACACCCAGAAACATGGATTAACTTACATCTAGATTTCTTTTACTAATTAAAGTGGCTACACAGGATGGAGCAGAGCTGCCTCAATACCCCACTGTGCTGGTGTGCACACCCACCTCTGCCCTCCTCACACACTGGAAGAAAGGATTTGTGCTACCAGGCTGCAGCAAGGGAGTCAGGAGATGCAAGGTGGGAAGGGCCCCACAGGACCACTCCTTCTGCTGGGTTTTACCTCAGGAATACAAACCAGTCTGATACACATTGTAAAACTGAGGCTTTTTTCCCCAGACCATGCACAAAATCTTATTCTGTATTAAGTTATCAACTTCAGCAGCACTTGAGGAGACCACTCGCTGCTGATAATATAACCTTGGGGTTTTGTTTCCTAAGAAAATTGCAGCAAACTCCAGGTTTTGCCTTTCGAAGCAACATTAAATAAAGATTTTCAAAGAGGGAAGAGAGAAAGAAAAAAAAGAGAAGAGAAAGTCCAGAAGTATCAGAGCTGCAAAACTACAGACCTGAGGTAAATATGCTGGTCTGGAGGGGAGCTGAAGGATGGACATGCCAGGGATTCCTTACAGAAGGCTTCATAATGTGCCTTTTTTACCTCCTCTACATACTAAATTGATAACATTCCAACACAAAGCACCTCCTGCCCTGCTGTACCTCACATGCTCCTGATAGCAGCTCTTCTAGCCCCACAGGATAATATTTTCCCCCTTTTTGCACAGCCTGACAAGTACCACATCAGGAAGTCAAACGTGATCACTTTCTTCACCCACAGAATTTGAGACCAGGATGGGAAGGATCCCACCACAAACCACTCCCTTGCCCTAGAATATTTTGTTTCAAATGCTGGTTGACATAAAAGAAGGAACATTTATTTATCAGTCTTTGCTTTCCTAAGTACAAAAAATACCAGAGGGTTAGAATTCTGTTGAGCAGCAGTGGATGTTGGCTGGTACAAAGCTTGTCTTGCATAACACTGAAGACTACTCCCAACACAGAGATCAGAAACCTGGCTGCCCAACTTGAAAAGCAAGAGATGTTATGGATCACTGAGATCTCTGGTGGTATTGAATTTACTTGTATAAGTTTAGACAGGGGGTGGTGGGGGAATAGGGAAGAAGAAAGTAAAATAGTGATGGAAAAAAAAGAAGGTAATAGCTCTGTACAGCTCACCTTGACCTCGATGAAGTCTGGTTTTCCCAGGGCTACCAGGTCAGCGTAGGCTTTGAGTTCATCCACGTTCCAAGCTTTCACCAGTGTCAGCCTATAAACAGTGCGTTGTTGCTGAAAGAAAGGAGAAATCACATTAGAACACACTCTGACACAGGGAGGATGGTCCAGCCTTCCAAACAGCTTCAAACAGGGGAAGAAAACCCACTTCATTAATTTATTCCAGGAACCCAGGGGCTAAAGCAAACGGGACTCAAACCAGGAGTCACCTCACTTGTTCTTTCAAGAAAGCTGCTCAGAGCATCTGTGAGCTGAGCCACTTTTTGCCACACAAAAACTCACCTTCCCTCTATGTATCCCAGGCCCTTTTTTTTTACAGGAGATTGAACTTAATGGGAAAATAACCAGCAAGTTTCTCTCTTTCATTTGCTTCCCTAGGCATAAACTCTCACCGTTAGCTGCTAGACAGGTATCATCTCCTCCAGCTGGATCAGCAGGCGATGATGTGGTCACATCTGGTGACTTTTGGACAAGAGGCAGCAGAACTGACCCTTGTCTGCCCCTGTCCACAAACTCTTCCAGCACATGAGGTCCAACATTGCAGAGAAAAGGCTCTCCTGTCATCAGTTACACACAACATTTCCTTGGAGGCACAAACTGACAATTACAGTCACAACCAGGAGCTGGATTTCACCAGGGAGGGAAGTGATGGGAGCAGGGGGAATGGTTTTAAACTGAAAGAGGGGAGATTTAGGTTAGACATCAAGAAGAAATTCTGCACCATGAGGGTCATAAGGCACTGGAACAGGTTGCCCAGGGTGGTTGCTGATGCTCCCTCCCTGGAGGTGTTCAAGGCCAGGTTGGATGAGGTTTTGTGAAGCCTGGGCTGGTGGGAGCTGTTCCTGCTTGTAACAGGGGGGTTGGAACCTGATGATGTTTGAGATCCCTTCCAACCTTCACCATTCTGTGATTCTAACCAGGAAACATTGCAAATGCCCTGCTATGACTGTGCCAATGAGAAGTGCAGTGCAAACCATAAGGAGCAGGCACAGCAGCAGCACTAACGACCACAAGAGCAGCCTCCAGCCCTCATTTCCCCTCCAGAGCAGGATTCCTGCCAGGCACTATCCCTGCATGGACCTGTCACAGCTCCTCAGCACAGAGAGACCTGGCTTGTTTCTGTGCCCAGTGGCAGCCAGCACTCTGAGAACTTCTTTCCTTGGAGTTATTCTGATTCTCCCTCCAAGGGCTGCTCACCAAAGAAGTTACTGGTGACAAATGAACTTCTGTTATCAGGACAAGCACTTGGCCTGGGAACAAGTCCAGTCTCACTGCTTACATCTGCTTGTTCTCATCTCCTTCTCTTCATCTCCCACTAATGTATCATTGCACTTATCTCTGGACTTTATTTCCAGAGCTATCTTCCAGCAAAACTGTTTTTTGAATTCACTTGTTTTCCTTCCTTGGCACATGCTAGACTGTAAAACAGGACAAAAGCACCAGTTTAGGCAGAGTGAGAGCACCCTAATAACTCCACAGCAACCCAAGGATCCTTGGCTGGGGCCAGGCTGGATCCCAGGACTGGAATCCAAGTCTCCAACTCCATAAAGTCCAGGCTTAGACACAGGCTGAATTAAGAGATTCTCCCTAACCCATGACATGCCCGTGGCACAAGGTGACCTGCACCTCAGTGCCCTGTGTGGGCAACATGCCCACTGTTCCATTGATTGCATTTTTCAACCCAGGAGAAGCTACTGAAGAGATCTGCTGCTGAAACCAACCTCTCATCTTAAACCTCAGACCAGTTAACTCTGTGATACCTCTGCCAGCACCCAAGGGCCAGGAGCAAAACAGGGATGGATCCCAGGATCCTGAGTCCCAGCCCAAGGTTATGAAAAGGCTTTATTAAAAAGCCCACGTTATCACCCCTCCCGAGATAAACCCAATACCAACCCCCAGTCTAGCCACATCCTGCTCCTTCCGAGTGTCTGACCTACACACCACAGAAGTCAATTTTCCCTTCTGTACATAAAACTTTATTGACCTAAAACACATTTCTATGTTTTCCACAGGATAAAACCCCAAATCCAACATTTTCTACACCAGTTCGTTATGGAAACATTCCAGATTATTTGCTAACAAACAAGTAGAGGACAAAGAAATTAAAAAGCAGCATCTTCTTCCTAGCATCTGAACCTGCCCTGGAACCCAAAGCACCAGGTAAACCAGGAAATTCCCTGGAGTATAAACCCAAGTGAGGATTTGATACCTACAAGGAGTCAGTGTCTTCATAGAATAATGAAAGGTAGATCTTCTTTTTTTTTTTTTTTTTTTTTAAAAAAAAGGCTGTGGAGAATAACTTTAATAATAATTCTCACCATAATTCTTTAAAGGTCAAATATTACAAGAACTAAAATAGCTGACCTCTACTTCCATTGCAGCATGTGAGCACATGTTTAAGAATAAGAATCAAATGGATTGGCAAAAGAAAGGTTTGGGCCAAGAGCCCATAGGTATGAAATCAACAGTTAATTACTAAAGAGAAAAACAATGAAGGAATTAATAAAAAAAAATAAATGCCTTCTTTGCCCTACAACAGAGAAAGAAGGAACCAGAGGGAAAATATCTAACAAGAGCAAAAACTCCAATACACACATGCCTGCCAATTGTTTGAAGTGATTAGATACCCAATTAATGGAGAAATGTCTCCCCAAAGGTCAGCTCACAGCAGTAAACAAATGCAGGCAGCTTCACAGCACCAGTAAATAAAACCACTATTTCAATATCAGCCCCAACCAGCAGCTGCTGCTCCAGACCCAGTCCTCAGACTGGGAGGTCAGGTCCTCAGTGCAGGGGACTGGGGAGTCCACCATGAAGTGAAGCCTTCAGGGTTGGTTTTTTTTTGTGGCATGTTTTTGTACTAAAATGAAGAGCAAATTTCTGGATGTCTCTGTTGTGCACAGAACAAGCAGCTTGTCAATGAGCACATAGGGAGCTGGATGGTGCATCCTGGTAAATCCGGCACCACTGCTGGTGAACACTCTGCAGCAGCAGGGGGTATGAAAAAAAGGAAGAAAAGACAAAATCTCAACCTTAAGACAGAGAAACAAAACACAGGAAAAACATTTGTGAGATGAAAGTCTCCAAAAATCCACTTGATTTTCAGACAGCAAATATTTGCTATTTGGGGGGGTGACACACAGACAGTGTGTGGACCAGGCAGAAACTGGTCTCGAGGGGTGGAATTAAGGGTAATTAATAATAACACATGCATGGAAAGCTCCTATTGACTACTGAAAATACTGATGCTGAGCCCAAGTGTGAAGTGGAGCCACTAGAGCTTTGCACAGCACCTCTGCTGAGCAGCCAGGGCAAGACCTTCAGGTAACTGAAGTGCTGGCGGGTCAGGAGGGCACTTGCCAGCCTGGAGGACACGTGTGACAAGTGTCACAGCAGCACCACATTGCTTGGAGCAAGCTTAGAAAATGCCAGCCAGTTCCTCTATGAGATGTCCAAAAGGACAGAAAACATTTTCTAGAGCCTGAAAGAAACACTTGCAGCAATAAAAGAGCATCTTTTTTGGCAGAAGGAATTGAAGCCAAATGGTTGGAAGGAGATGAGTCCAGGAGCCCCATTCCAAAATACCATGCTGTGATTGGGGGGTGGGGGGCACACTGGTTCACCCCTCCATCTCTGCTGGCTGAACAATGTGCCAAATGCACACACACCTCCTAGGAGACCACGCAGCAGGGGCTGCCCACAGCTCATGTTTCTTGCCAAAATACAGTGGAGGCAGGAGTTTAAAGAAAAAAAAAAAAAGTCTAGTCTACTAAAAATTGATAAAATCAAATTGCAAAGACTAACATAAATAGTTGATATAGAGGAAACAAGTCCATGCTTTATTCTTCTTCATCAATCCTCAACAGTGCAATTAGGGCCATGACCAGGACTTGTCATGGTGTCCAGTTCTGGAGCTCCCAACACAAGAAGGACATGGAGCTCCTGTAGAGAGTCCAGAGGAGGCCACAGAGATGATCCAAGGGCTGGAGCAGCTCTGCTCTGGAGCCAGGCTGGGAGAGTTGGGCTGTTCAGCCTGAAGAAGAGAAGGCTCCAGGGAGACCTTAGAGCAGCTTCCAGTGCCTGAAGGGGCTCCAGGAAAGCTGGGGAGGGGCTTGGGACAAGGGCAGGGAGGGATGGGACAAGGGAGATGTGTTTCAAGCTGAAAGAGGAGATTCAGATGAGATCTTAAGGAGAAATTCTTCGCTGTGAGGCTGCTGAGACCCTGACCCAGGTTGCCCAGAGAAGCTGTGGCTGCCCCATCCCTGGCAGTGTTGAAGGGCAGGTTGGATGGGGCTTGGAGCAACCTGGGCTGGTGGGAGGTGTCCCTGCCCATGCAGGGGGGTTGGATCTGGATGATCTTTATGGTCCCTTCCAAACCATTCTGTGATTCTATGATTCCTCCTTCTCCTGGGACAACTCTCCAGGAGGCAGCACAGAGGAAGGTTTCTTATTTGCTCTTACACATGTAGCTCAACCCTCTGCTGAGGCAGAAGGTTGGGGTCCCCTGGGGTTCATGAACACAGGGCTGACCCTACGGAGCCCTGCTCCCTCCTGGGCTGATGGAAACAGCCTCCAGCACTTGTCAACTTCTTTTATCCATGCCTGATTGTTTCCTAAATGGTCCCTGCAACTGCCAGAGCAGGTAAGACAGGTTCAAGGAAGGCCACAAAAGAATGGAAGAGCTGCCCTGCTTACCAGTGGCTGCCACCAATGTGAAGGGAGGGTGTGACACCAACGCCAGTATGAAGGCACATGGCCACCACCAGCTGCTTCTGGCTTGGTGCAAGGGGACACACAGCCAGGCAGATGTGACCAAACCCAGATGGACCAGGACAAATTTTGCACTAATACAAACATTTCCAAAAAAATCTTATGTTGGCAGAGGACACCCATGTGCAGTGACCAACACCAAGCAGCCTGCCAGCCCCTCCTCATCCTCCTTCCTCTGCTGCCCAGTCACTTGTCATCTTGCAAGCCAGGGTGAGAGGGACACCCTCTGCCCAGCACCTTCGTGCCTGCAGCTGCTCAGACCATCTCACTTCCTCCCTCTAATC